ATGTCTTAATTCCCAAATACTTTACGATTGAAAACCAATTACTTCTTAAAGATTTGTTTTAATTCAGATATTTGTCAATAAAATATTAAAAGTGTAATTCAAACTAAATTCCAAATATAAATGACTGTTAATTATATGAAAATTTAATAAATAAATAAACAATTGTAACAAAATTTATATTAGTTTTAGTGATGACTAAAATGCCTTCACTTCTGATTGACAGCCAATCATAATTGGTTTGAACCGATGGCCAAACTTTAGCGCTCGTCCCGTAAACTATTACCACAATTATTTGTCAATTACTTCTTCGGCAGCAGTCCTTCGGTTGTCTTTAATTTATGAAATTGTCTCAAATGCTGTCTCGCAGAGGGTTTACACGTGAATGTCTTATCGCAACCCTCGACGGGACAGTCGACCACTCGTAGGCCCTGATGTGAGTTCATGTGATCCGTGAGCTTGTCTTTGGCGCCGTAGCGTCGGTCACACGCGGGCCAACTGCACACATATGGCAGTGTGTGTTGATTCTTGTGTTGATATAAATAGGATTTAGTGACAAACCCTTTACCACAACCCTCTATATCGCACACAAACTGTTTGATCCCTAAATGAGTGCTCTGATGCCGCTTCAGTGTCTCCGATGACTTGAAGCGGGCCTCACAACCGGGCCATTCGCACGCGTACTGCCGCTCCACGTGAAACACTCGGCAGTGCTTTTTGACGGCCATTAGGTTGACAAACATGCGATCGCATCCGCTTTGCGTACACTTCACGCGTCGGGTGCCGTCGTGTGTGGTCTGGTGTTCGGCCAAACGGTCGGCGCGATGGGTCTCATACGGGCACTCCTTATACGAACACCGAAGTCGTTTGCCTATGCGGTGCCACTTGTGATGAATGGCCAGATAGCGCTCCGTCGGGAACTGTTTGTCACACTCGTCGCACTTAAACGGCTTCTCATTGGTGTGTCTGAGCCGCACGTGAGCTACCAATACATCCCTGGAATGAACGCGTTTCCCACATCCGGGCCATTCGCACGCGTACTTCAGGGCCAGCGCTCGGGCCTCCGCTTCCGGGTTGTGAGCCTTCGAGCGCTGGTGTCGGACCATAACGTGTCGGTAGAAGAACTCACGACCGCAGCCATCGATTTGGCACCGATAGGGCGCCGGCGCTGTCGAGTGCCGCAAACGGTGACACTTAAGTGTATTGGGAGTATTGGTCTCAAACGCGCAGCCGTTGTGTCCGCACTTATAGCGCTTCACCGACTGATGCGTCCGGTCGTGCAGTTTGAGTATCGTTTCCGTTGTGAACCGTTTGCCGCACTCTTCGCACCGGAAGGGCCTCTCCTTTGTGTGCGTCGACCGGATATGTCCGACGAGATTAGGCTTTTGGGTGAAACTCTTGTCACAGCCCTCCCAATGGCAGCGGTAACGAGTGGTGCCATCACTGCCGCCACACTTCTCAGGTTTACTGTTAACCATTGTCTCGTCGGTGTTGTCCACCACTTCTCTTTTCATCGCTGATATTGTGTCCCAATTGTGATCAGAATTAGTGTCCAATTCTTCGCTTATTGTCTTCTTTTGCTTATTATATCTTCTCTTCGGTGTTGTTGTCGTTGTCTTCGGGTTATTGTCTTTCAGTTTCCTCGTCTTCTTTGATCCACTTCTTGGATGTGATTGTTGTGTCAGTCTTTGGATTAAGTGATTGCGTTCACTGTTTAGCTGTCCCTCGAGTGATGTGTTGAATGACTTGATATCATGTGTGAAAGTGTGGTAAATGTGTGTCAATTGATTCCACACTGTGTTTGTTGTCTTCACTGGATGTGATGTCTGCGGGCACTGGATGTGCATCGAGNAAACTAATCACGAATTGTCTGTACTTTTCAAACAAATCCATTATTTTGTGACAACTTTTCAATTCATATAAAAGTCTTGTGTTTTCAGTCCAGAGCTCTTCCAACACATCATTCACTCCTATTTTAGCCATAATTTCAATACAAATAAAACCAAAACTTAATTATGATTTCAATTGTATTTAAATCTCAATTCAATTGTGGACTAAATTGAGTCAAAGTCTGTGTTTTGTCAACAGATCTCTCATAACAAACCATTCATTAATAACGTATACAATAGTTATCTTTTTGCGACCAAAGTTTGATTTATTATAACTTTTTAATGATTTAAATGTAAATAAATTTACTTTAATTTCACATAATATATACGAAATTAAACATAATTTCACAAAAATAATATCACATTTGAACTACAATTTATTTCTTGATAGGTATGAGTCCTTCAGTGGTCTTATATTTGTGGACTTGTCTTAAGTGTTGTCGCGCACAGGGTTTGGATGTGAATGTCTTATCGCAACCCTCGACCGGACACTCGACCACTCGTAGGCCCTGATGTGAGTTCATGTGGTCCTGGAGTCGGTTATTGGAGGGATAGCGTCGGTCACATGCGGGCCAACTGCACACAAATGGCAGAGAGTGTTGGCGTTTGTGTTGCTTTAAATGATGATTAGTGACAAACCCTTTACCACAACCCTCTCTATCGCAGACATACTGTTTGACTCCCAGATGTGTCTCTTTGTGACGCTTAAGCATATTTAAGTCCTTATACGTGGCCTCACACGCGGGCCAATCGCAAGTGTACGGCCGGGCAGTCGAGTGCACCGTATTCTTGTGGGCCTGTAGACTCCTCTTGAGGTTAAACCGTGAGTCACATTCATCGCACGCGTATTGCCGAAGCTGTTCGTGTGATTGGATGTGATGGGAAAGTGACTGATTAGTACGGAAGGCGTAGTCACAGCCGACCCAATAGCACACGAATGGCTTAGCGGTGTCCGTATGTATCATCTGGTGTCTCGTTAGATACCGCTGAGTGGGGAATGTCTTGTGGCAAATGTCACACTCGAATGGCCTCTCCTTTGTGTGTGTGATCCGAATGTGAGCCGAAAGGTATTCCCGATCGCTAAACCGTCGCTCACATCCACTGTAATGACAGACAAAAGCTTTTTCCCGAATGTAATTATATTTCTTCTTTGGTGTTCGCGGGAAGCGCTTAAAGCCCTCCGAATGCATCTTCTGGTGCGCCCGAAGATACCGCTCAGTGGGATATGTCTTGTGGCAGACGTCACACCCGAACGGCCGCTCCATTGTATGTCTGACCCGAATGTGTGCCAAAAGTTTTTCATTTTCTGCGAACTGTTTCTCACATCCGATGTAATCGCAGATAAAATTTTTCGGTCGAAAGCACTTCCCATTCGCAGAAAGAGTTGTCTTCTCTTTATATTTCTTCTTCAGTGGTGCTGTCGTCGAGTTTTCACCACTTTTTTCGCTTTTCTGAACGCATTTTCTCTTTTTCTTCTCATTTTTGTCATTCATTTCTTCATCACTTGAAGTCTGTTCCCAATTGTGGTCAGAATTATCGTCCGATTCATCGCATATTGTCTTTTGTTTATTATATCTTCTCTTTGTTGTTGTCTTCGCTTTATTGCCATTCAATGTCTTCTTTGGTTCACTTCTTGTGTCCTCTGTTTGTATGAGTTGTCGGACACTGTGTTTGTTGTCTTCACTGGATGTGATGTCTGCGGGCACTGGATGTGCATCGAGTGATGTGTTGAATGCAAACTGTATTTGTCCTAAAATAGTGGACATCTGTTTGAATGAGTTGTCGGACACTGTGTTTGTTGTCATCACTGGATGTGATGTCTTCGGGCACTGGATGTGCATCGAGTGATGTGTTGAATGACTTGATATCATGTGTGAAAGTGTGGTAAATGTGTGTCAATTGATTCCACGTGTGTTTGTGTCCACTATTTTGAGGACAAATACAGTTTGCATTCAAACTAATCACGAATTGTCTG